GAGAAGAGAGATAGAGAAGAATAGGAAGAAGGGGAAGGGAAGTAGGGGGGAGAAAGGGAGGCTTGACTTTGTCTCGAATAACGGCTCAAAACCGCAACTATTAATGGTGCATAACTTAGCTATTTAAGGGAAGCTCGCGGCAAGAAAGAGAGAGAGAGAGAGAGAGAGAGAGAGAGAGAGAGAGAGAGATACATAGATATATAGAGAGATAGTGAGAGAGCGAGAGAAAATTTAAGAGAAAAAGAGAGAGAGAGCGAGAGAGAAAGATAGATGGTTGAATAGATAGATTGATAGAGAAAGAGAGAATGAGAGAGTGAGCGAGAAAGAGAGAAAGAGCGAGCGAGAGAGAGAGAGAGAGAGAGAGAGAGAGAGAGAGAGAGAGAGAGAGAGAGAGAGAGAGAGAGAGAGAGAGAGAGAGAGAGAGAGAGAGAGAGAGAGAGAGAGAGAGAGAGAGAAGGAGAGAGAGAGAGAGAGAGAGAGAGAGAGAGAGAGAGAGAGAGAGAGAGAGAGAGAAGAGAGAGAAGAGAGAGAAGAAGCGAGCGAAGCAAGCGCAAGAGAGAAAGAGTGCGAGAAAGAAAGGGAGAGAGAGAGAAAGAGAGAGAGAGGAGTGAACAAAAAAGAAAAAAAAGAAAGTAATATACAAAACACTTAAGCAATACCAGTTGCTTGGTCGGAGATACCTGTCCTAAATGTATGGTGAAAGTTGTTGATGGATCTTATGTAAACTAGTTTTGGTGAAAACAAAAAACGCAGACACGGAGACACAAACGCACACACACACACGCACACACACACACACACACACACATACCACACCCCCCCCCCCCCAATACACAAAAGTAAACATACACACACACGCAAATACACTCATATAAAAAAAATCTTAACCGCGATAAAACACCTTAACAATTTTTTTTATTGCTAACAAGAAAGTCAACACTGGAAGCTGTCGGAGGCGGGAAAGCTGCACCGGAAAACATGTGGTGTAATATAACCCTTGGAAACCCTTCCCGCTTTTCATTTTCGATTTGCAAAAAAAAAAAAAAAAAAGGAAAGAAAAGAAAGAAATATAAGTAACTAAATGAATAAATAAATAAAATAAGACATATAAAGTATAAGGCATATAAGTAAATAAATAAATAAATGAAAAATAAACCTCATTGTAGTGATATTAGAAACGTTTGCTTGCGGACTTAAGAAAAAAAAAAATAAAACGAAATAAAAAAATAAATAAAATAACACTTCAGGGTGTGACATTTTCAAAACGTTTTTTTTTTTGCGCGACTTTGGAATGCCAAAAGACGGGGTCATAGCAAGTATATCTATTCCCATATCTGTTATTTTCATCCATATTTTCATTTTGTTCATGCGGTGAAAAATGCATTCCTCCAATCTATCCACGAACCGTAATATAAATTTCTTCACCGCATCACCGTAAAAATAACCTAAATTCTGACAAGTGAAGCGTTTACGGCCCGCTGAGAGGCATCAGCCGTTAATATCAACGCCCCCCATTTCTAACTTCTACATGAACCATATCTTTACTCCATATCTCTTACTGCAATCTCCTTCTATTCTTCCTCAACTCGATTTATCAACAAGTCGTTCTAGAAGCTTCTTCAGCGCGCGACTCGAGCGACAACCTCATAAATCCCCCAAAACACGGGACAGACTTGACGCGAAAATCATGTGAAAGAAGTGCGTCAGCTGAGGATGGAAGGACATCTGGCGGCGAAGTTTCGCATTATCTCTACGAGGCGGAGGAGGAGGGAGGAGGAGGGCAGGGTGGAGAGGATGATGATGATGGAGAGAGTGGGGTGGTGGGGTGGATAAGTCAGGAGGAGTAAGGGAAGGAGTAGGGTGGGGTGGAATAAGTGATGAGGAGGAGGAGGAGGAGGAAGAGAGGCAGGAGGGAGGAGGAGGAAGAAGAGGAGGAGGAGGGAGGCGGGGTTGGCGGTGGGGGTGGTGGTGGTTGGAGAGGAGGAGGAGGAGGGAGGAGGAGGAGGAGGAGGGGAGGAGGAGGAGAGAGGAGGAGGAGGAGGAGGAGGAGGAGGAGGAGGAGGAGGGGTGGGGATGGGGCGGGATAAGGAGGAGGAGGAGGAGGTGGGGGGGAGGGGAGTGGGGTGGGCAGAAGTGGAGGTGGAGTAAAGTGGTAGTAGGTTGGTACGAAGAGTATAGTATGGTGCTTGTAAATTCAAGGGTAGTAGGAGGAGGAGAAAGAGGCGAGAAAGCAAAGAACAAGAAATGAGAATGAGGAAGAATTAGAGGAAAGAAGGTGAGTGGAGCCTGGAAACAGTAGGGACAGATAAAGGAGGGGGGATGGGGGACAAATAACAAAAAAACAAACAGACGACAATAAAATACAGACAAAGAGAAAAAAAGAAAGAGAAGGAAAGGGGGACGAAATAAAAGAAAAAGCACGAAAACAAAGAAAATACAGAAAGAATTTACAAAAAAAAAAAAAAAATAAAAAAATTAAAAAAAAAAAAAAGAAAAAAAGAGAAAAGACATAAATAAAAGGATAGTACAGATAAACACAAGACTCATTAACGGACATAATAAACGTTAGTAAAAATTCACCCGATAACGAGAGCTTATCTCACCACCGAAACGAGTAAGATCTCCATCAGGATTAGCATTAAAGAATTTGACATTTTTGCTCTAGCGCGCGAACGCAAGAAGTGATCACTATCACGTGATCTGCCCGTGTATTGTAGGGTTTTCCAGTCGCGCGGCGGCTTAAGCACTGAATGGGAGGGCGGGCGGGGGCGGCCGGGGGGGGGATTATTGCGTGGGTATTACGGTATGCAAAATGATAAGAGAGATGTTATTATTTTATTTGAGAGAGAGAGAGATGGAAAGGAAGGAAGGAGGAAGGGAGGGAGACAGAAATAGATAGGCAGATAGATAGATAAAAGAAAGAGAGAGATAGAGGATAGATAGAGAGAGTAGGAGGGAGAGGAGAGGGGGAGAGGGAGAGAGAGAGAGAGAGAGAGAGAGAGAGAGAGAAGAGGAGAGAGAGAGAGAGAGAGAGAGAGAGAGAGAGAGAGAGGAGGGAAGAGGGAGAGGAGAGGAGAGAGAGAGGAGAGGAGAGGAGAGGAGAGGGAGAGGAGAGGAGAGAGAGAGAGAGAGAGAGAGAGAGAGAGAGAGAGAGAAAAAGAAAGAAAGAGAGGATAAATAAACAAATAAACAGACAGAGACACTGAAGCTATACAAAACAAACAAAAACTCAAACACACACAGACATACAGAAAAACACACAAAAAACACGAAAAAATTAGATAGAAAGACGAAGAGAAGGAGGAGGGGGTGTCCGAGGGAGGGGGATGGGGGGAGTGACCGACTCACGCGTGTCCGGAGTGTATAATCATATCGTAAACAGCGTAAATATGTCGGGAAGAATGCAATAAAACGCGATACTTGTTCCCTTGATGGATCTCTCAGTGGTGGGGGGGGTAGGAGGCGAGGGAGGGAGTGGAGGGGGTAGGAAGCGAGGGGGGTGGGGGTGGAGGGGATAGGAAGCGAGGGAGGGGGGTGGAGGGGCAGGGGAGGAGAGTTAGGAGTGGCGGTAGGGGTGGGTGGAGGATGGATCTCTCAGGGGAGGATGACGGAGAGGAAGGCGAGGGGTGGAGGGGGTAGAAGAGGGGGCGGATGGGTAGGAGATAGGGGTGGAGTAGGGTGGTGGAGGAGGCTGATTAGGAGAGCGGTTATGGGAGGCTAGGGAGAGATGGGGAATCGGAAGGTATGGGAATTAGGAAGAAGAGGGAAGTGTATAAGGGGGAATGGGGAAGACGAGGGAAGAGTATAAAAGGGGAATTAGGAAGATAGGGAGAAAGATATGAGAATGTGGAAGAATATAAGGAATGACGAATAGGAAAGTTATGGGAAGAGAATAAACGAGAGAAGAGAGAAAGAAAAGAGAGAAGAGGAGAGGGTAAAGATATATAGGATGGAGGTACGGTGAGGGGGGAGGTGAGGGAGGGTGGGGGAGAGAGAGAGAGAGAGAAGGATAGAGATTGATGATGATAGCCGCTATAGATCATCCGTTGTACGTGAAGTGATTTATCAAGAGAAAGATTGATTTCAAGAGAATGCCAATGTTTACTGTCGTTATCATCATTACTATCGTTATTCTTGAATCATTATCATTTTGCACTATTACTGTTATAATAATCATCATCGATATCATAACTACTTTCACCCTTATTATTACTATATCTATATCATAACAACTATTTTCATCATTGTCATTACTACCACCATATCCACCGCTCTTTTAACAACCACAATTCGACCTAACTACCATAATCATTATTCCTAACTAGACCCAACTACCATTATCATTATTCCAAACCATTATCATATGTATTGCGAAATGGGGTCAACCTCCCCCCCCCCTCAGCCGAAATATGCGACAGCGGCGAGTGCACAAAATCCTCAGAAGCCATTACAAACCCCATTAATGGAGGTCAAATAAGGCCATAATGGTCTGAACGCAGGAGAGAAATACTCATCCCAAAGCGGGCTTCATCAATCCGTTTTTGTGTCGTATATCTTATCGGGTAATATCATTCCTTATCGGGAGGCAGCGAGAATGGGGAGGGATTCATTGTATGCAAATGTGAAGGAGGGGGGTGTGAGGTGGGGACAGGGGGAGGGGGAGATCGGTAGGTGATACAAGTTAGGGGGGTATGCGCGGAATTGGGGGGGTATGGTAGGGGTATAAGGGACAGGAGGAGGTAGGAAGGGGGTGATGGGGAGTCACTGAGGCTTAGGAAATGGGAGGGGGAATTTTGTGACCAAATAAAACATTAATCTAATCTTAATTTCTCAAATTAACCAAAGCAACCATCAAAAAAGACCCCAACCAGCAACCCCCCTCCCCGAAAAAAACAAAAATGTCTAACAATACCCCTCCAAACCAGGAACACAATACCGCTACCCCCAACCCGCCCCCCCCAAAAAAAAAGAAAAAAAAGGAAAAAATATATTGTACTCACCGATTTTCTTGTTGATGGTGATGGCGGGTCCGAGCTGAGACTCCGAGAGGACGGCGGCGACGCTGAAGGTGTAGTCAGTGTTGGGGTGGATGCAGTAGTTGCACACTTCGGGGTTCAGGGTGTAGCTACACTTGTTCTCTGAGCACTAGGGGGTAGAAGAGAAAGGATGGGGTTAAGGGCTTTTACCTTTTATGGGATCTTTTGGACTGATATATATGAAGCTGAGTTATATCTCTAAAATATGTAAAGATTTAGAGTTTTTCCCAGATGGTTTTGTACTCCACTAATTCCTCGAAATTGGTATTTCTACTCAAGATGTGTAATTAACAGTAAGGATAACTATTTCAAAACTGTAAGCACACATTTCCTTGTAAAATCGCCAAAAATTGCCACCACAAACGAAGACTCTCTGTTTCTTTCTTTCGCCCTTCTATCCTCCCCCTATTTTTATCTAATCTTCCAACCTTTCCCTTACCTTCATCTCAGTATCGTATGAGGCAGAACCGCCGAGGAGGACAAGGATGTAGTTGGAGAATTCACCGCTGCATGAAGGCCTTTCCCACTCGATGACCACGTTGGCGAGACGCTCCTGGACCTTCAGGTTGCGGGGCTTCAGGTGCTCGGTGCTGTCAGCTGTGGGAAAAGGAAGATACGTTTTTTAAGTTTATTGTTACGTAATTTTAGCTTAAATGTACATTTTGTTGTGGTGTATAATCTATTAAGTTAATTGTATCTAATAATTGCATTTAGAAATTTCGTATCTGTTTATTTCTGAATAAAGTTTAAGTAAACCACTGGAACGTCAATGCCAAATCATTCTTTCCTAAGTCACCCCCTAAATCAAGGCTCAACTTTCCATTTTCTATAAATGTCAGTCAGCGGGACCGTTTTCTCTGAATGACGCAGCACCGTAAATTCATGGGGTGACTATACCGTTTTCTGTGACGTACATTTTTATTTCTTGTGAATTTAAGCATATACCTCAAAATGGATAGTAAGAAAGGACATTACCTAGACCACGTTACTATACATTTTATATGAATATTCTTAGATAAATCGTATTATATAAAATTAATCAAATAAACTCCAAAATGTATAATACGAACAAACCCTCTCCCACACTCACCCTTAAAACCCAAAACACCCCAACCCTCCTTCCAGACCTAAACCTTACCCTCCCTAAAAAAAAAAACGAAACAACCCTAAAAAATACCCCCAAAATAAAATTAAGACCCTTCACTCACCGTCCTTCTGGCAGATCATGTACTGGAGAGTGTGGTCAGCGGGGTAGGGCTGGAGCTTGTGGCGGAAGTTGGTGTCGGGGTAGTCGTCCAACATGGCGGCGATGGAAGGTCCGTACAGGCTGGTGGGGAGGGAGTTCCATTCGTTGGTGGTGCCGGCCTGGGAGGGAGAAAGAGAGGGAGAGACGATAAATATGATGGAAATTGTGGAGTGAAGGAGAGGCATAAGGAAACTGAGAGGGAGAGAGACGATAAATATGATGGAAATTATTGAGTGAAGAAGGGAGGTAAGGATATTGAGAGGGAGAAAGGGAGAGACGATGAATATGATGAAAATTATGGAGTGAAGGGGGGCATAAGGACATTGAGAGGGAGAGAGGGAGAGACGATGGCTATAAAAAAAATTATGGAGTGAAGGAGGGACGTAAGGAAATTGAGAGAGGAAGGGAGGATGAAAATGAATGAAATATGGTAGGAAGGGAGGTACGTGGGTTGGCGGACGAACGAAGGAGATATAGAAAAAGAGAGAAGATAATCATGGGAATGATGAAGAGGATTAGATAAGGTAAACAAAGTAATAGTTGATGTTGGAATGAGGAACATAATACTCATAGTGAAACAAAATTTAATAATCATTCCTCTTACATCATTACTGCTAAAACCTGGCATATAATGTGGAGACATGACATTAATATCCGTCATCACAAGTGCCACTGATTACCTTAAATTCATTAATCACATATAAAGATAGTAATAAGGTCTCAAGAACTAATAGGGACATTCTGTTTCATCACTCAAACCCTTTAACTACTCATCAACATCATCAATGCTCTCACTTGCAGAACAGCTTCACTAGCCTTTAAGAAGCTCATGACTGAACACCCCAACGGGCCCGCATCAACCCACCTTGACCCAATCGTAGAAATCGAGAAAACAAGAGATCTCATGAACTAATATGGACATTCTATTTCATCACTCAAACCCTTAACTACTACTCATCATCATCATCAATGCTCTCACTTGCAGAACAGCTTCACTAGCCTTTAAGAAGCTCATGACTGAACACCCCAACGGGCCCGCATCACCCCTGTTCAACCCACCTTGAGCCAATCGCAGAAATCGTTGCCTTCGCACTTGGAGCCATCAGCGTACACCCAGTTTCCGGGGGAGTCACAGGCATCTCTGTAAAACAAAAGGAAAAGGCTCGTGTTAAGTGTTGTCCCTGTGATGAGATTAATATCAAGGAGGAAGAAATTAACTGGAAAGATATATTGTGATATTCACTAACAGGAAATGAATTGGAATAGAATGAAACTCACTAACACGAAATTAATTGAAAAAAGCGATACTCATT